TCTTTGCATAGGGATTGTTCTATATCTAGCCATATAATATCAGATTGGGTGGGGTGAATCCATTTGTATACGTATTGCAGTTGGTTAGCCATTGAGTAATATTGGAAATTTGGTGCTTCTAGTCATCTTGAACCTTACTCTTTTGTAGTGTAGTGAGTTTTATCCTGGCATTTTATTTTCCAGTAGAAGCGAGTTATAATGGAGTCTAGTGATTTAAAACAGGTGAGTGTGGGGTGGGTTGGAATCATTGAGAATAGGTAGTTAATTTTTGGTAGAATCGTCATTTTTATTGCTGCTATCCTGCCGATTATGGAGATTGGGAGGTTGAGCCACCTGAGCAAATCGTCTTCTATTTTTTTTAGTAGTGGTGTGAAGTTGAGTGTTACCAACTCTGACAGTCTGGAGGAGGAGGTTAATGCCTAAGTAAGTGATGTGATCCTGACAAATAGGTATTGGTGATTGATGGGGTGCCACATCCCATTTGGTTTTATGTAAAGGGAGGATGGAGGATTTATTCCAGTTTATTGCATAATCGGATATTTTTGAGAAGGACTGGATTGTTTTGATTATTTCTTGAGTAGATGTTAGGGGTTCTTGTATATATAGTAGGATATCATCTGAATAAAGTGAGATTTTATGTATTTGTTGTGGTGTTTCAATACCTTTGATTGCTGGGTTTTGACGGATAGCTGCTGCTAAAGGTTCAATAAAAATGGTAAATAGGGATGGAGAGAGTGGACATCCCTGCCTCGTCCCCCTATGCAGTGCGAAGCTTTGTGATGTTAGTCCGTTCGTTGTGACTGTGGCCGATGGTGATGTGTATAAAATCTTGATCCAGTTAATAAATGACTTTCCAAAGCCGAATTTTTGTAACGTGGTGAATAAAAATTTCCAGTTGACCCTGTCAAAAGCTTTTTCGGCGTCTAATGTGGCAATGAGGATATCTTTCTGTTGTACTGATGAGTAGTGCATTAAATTGTATAATCTGCGGGTGTTATTAGATGCATGTCTACCTTTTATGAAGCCAGTCTGATCAGGATGGATTATATATGGTATAATTTGTTCAATTCTATGGGCTAATGCTTTGCTAATAATTTTTATGTCGACATTTATGAGTGAGATAGGACGATAGTTAGATGTGAAGGTGTGGTCTTTGTTAGGTTTAGGAATGAGTGTTAAGTGCTGTATTCATGTGGGAAGGGAACTTTGCATTGTGTTTTATTTCTGTTATTGTTCTGCTAAATAGTGGGTATAAGGTTGACCAAAAATGTTCGTAGAACTCAGCAGGGAAGCCATCTGGACCTGGTGCTTTATTATTTTGCATGCTTTCAGTGCGGAGTGAAGTTCTTTTTCTGTGATTGGTAATTCTAGTGTGTTTATTTGTTCCATGTTGAGTTTTGGTAGAATGATGTTATCGAGGAATTGGGTTATGTCTTCTTGGTTCGGATCAAGATCGGATGAGTATAATTTAGTATAGTAATCTTGAAATGTCCTGTTTATCTCAACTGGTGAATTGGTTAGCTTCCCTGCCGAGTTTTTGATGGAGGTTATAGCTGTTTTTTCTTTATTTCTTTTAATTTGACTGGCTAAATATTTTCCGGATTTATTGCTATGGTGAAAAGTTTCTTGACGGAGCCTGTGAATCAGAAATTGGTTTCTTTTGTTTATTATTTCATTGAGCAAATTTTTTTTTCTCTAATTTCTTTATAGATGCTTTTGATTGATTATTTGCGTGTAAAATTTCTAGTTCTTTTATTCTTTCTTCCAGTTGTGTTTCTTTTTCTCTGTCCTTTTTCTTTTTATGTACTGAATATGATATAATTTTCCCCCGTAAAACTACTTTCCATGTTTCCCAGAGCAGTGATGCTGACGACTTTGGAGAGTCATTTATTTCAAGGAAGGATGTCCTCTCTCTTGTGAAGTAACTGTCAAATTCTGGATCTTTCAATAGTGATGTATTAAAACGCCATCTGGTGGGGTGCTTCTGTATTGCAGATGGGTTCCATGTGAGAGTTTACCGGAGAGTGGTCGCTGATAATGATCGGATGTATTTTGGTTTCTAAATATTTGGTATGATTGAAATTACTGGTTAGAAAGAAATCAATGCGGAGTAGGTTTGGTGAACGTTAGAATAAAAGGTGTATTCTCTGGCGAGTGGGTGTTGTAGCCTCCAACCATCGCAAAGACCAAAATCACTCATGAACTGCTTTATTGTTTTGGAGGATTGCGGAGATTTACCTGTATGTTTTGACCTGTCAAATGATGGATTGATTACAGTATTATAGTCTCCCCCTATAATTATTGGACCGTTGGAAATGTTTGAAAGAGAGGAGAAGAAATTTGCAAAGAAGAGGAATCATCAGAGTTTGGTCCATAGATGTTGCCAATTGTGATTGGATTATTATTGATTGAAATGTTAATAATGATAAAACAGCCTTCAGGATCGGAAATGGTTGTATGGTGGTTAAACTGTATTTTTTTTGTTTATTAAGATGCATACTCCTCTTGTGTTTTGAATTATGGGTGAGGAAAACAGTGGTTGAAATGTGTAGTTTTTAAGCTATTTTGTGTATATTGTGAGAGGTGTGTTCCTGTATTAGACATATATCTGCCTGTGTATTTTGTAGGTAATTTAAAACTTTATTTTTTTTGTTAGTGAACCAACTCCACGAATATTCCAAGTTATGAACTTCAAATGCATGAACCTATATTGTACATTTCATAGTTACCTTGTGTGAGTATAAATCTGTGTGTGGATGTGAATGCGGTTGAGTGTGTGAGTGTGTGAGTGTGTGTGTGTGTGTGTGTGTGTGTAAATCTACAACAAATGACAAATAAAACAGAGAAAACATAGATACCTATAACCAACAACAGAACATATAAAAAGTGAGCAAGGTTATTTAGGTGCATTTAGAGTACAATGTGCGTGCGTGGTGCAAGTGGTTTTAATAAAAGAATATGAGGATTATGAATTGAGTATAAATTGAGTATAAACGGATTGGAAATGTTACATTGCTATTATCAATAATCAGTAAAGCCAGGGAGTAGTGTCTTTGTCTCTAAATAATTGTCCATCAATGTATAAATTTGTCCACTGTGATGATTGCTTTTTTACCTTGGTTGATCATTGTCTTGCGGATGGGGAAAAGTAGCTTACGTCTGCGGATGATCTCTTGTGGATATTGGTCGTTGAGTCCGTAATGAGTCCCTTTGAGCTGCCGTCCTTGTCGCTGAACCAGTACTTTTTGTTTGAAATGTTCAAATTTGGCGATGATGGGGCGGGAACGGGTGGAGTTGATGTGTTTCTGTCCTAAACGGTGAACGCGATGGAAAGTGATGTGCTCCACAGTCTCCGGTGTAAGTTTGAGCTGATTAACCAGGAAGTCCTTAACAGATTTTTCGGGTCTTCGGTGGTGATTCGGGAATGCGGAGAAGATTAGATTGTCTCTCATACTGCGTGACTGTATATCCAGGATGGTTTCTTGCATGGCTTTGTTCTCGGTGATGACGGAGGTAAGTTGAGTGTTTACAGTTGAAAGTTTTGCAGTGAGTGTGTCCACGGAGCTTTTCAGTGATTTATTTTTCTCTGTGAGTGAATCGACTTGCTGTTGACTGTATTCCAGGCTGTGGCGGAGGTTTTGAAATTCTTTGTGCAGTACTTTCGATTAGTGAAAGTCTAGAGTCCAGGTTTGATAAGCGCTCGTTGATTGATAGGAGTATGTCGGAACAGCAGTTTGTTTTGATCGGAGTGGATAATGGTGATGTTGGTGACGGCGGTGAATCGGTTGATGAGGGAGAGTCCGAAATGCGTGTTTTTTTGGCTTTGCGTGATCGGCCCATTGTAACGTTGCAGAGTCTGTTGAAGTGGTGGTCAATGTAATTGAATGTTACAAATCGTAACACTTACCGTATTTTGTACGGTGTCTTCTTTACACTTTCACCCCATGGATATCTGCTTCCTACAGTTAGCTCTAATGTTAGTGAACTCTAGGTCTTCTCTTTTTTCATATACGACAGTATTCACATGGCTTGTTTTAACTAATGGTGGTTTAAACCATCATCTTCACTTGAGACATATACCATCCTGGTTTTTAAATAGCACTTCATGGTATATTTTAACCCTTTATGCGGATATAAAATACCTATCTCTGAAATATTTTTTCGTGTAAAACATCTATATAGGTCGTGTAAAACAATCTATGTAAATCTATATCTATGTTTTCAAAAACACAAGGAAACAAAGAATGAACATCTTTCAATAAGTGACCTCAAAATCTTGGCATAAAAGAAAACACAGTACATTATCAGAAAATTACTTTTGTCGCTTTTTCTGAATAATCTCACCAAGTGCGGGTGCTTGATAACTGTTATCAAACGGTAATGACGTGTTTTACGTGATATTGATATCACGTTTTAATTTCAACTCGATACATTTGAATGCGCTAAAGGTTTTTAAATGAACGTCTTAATAGTGGGTAAAAGTTAACTTAAAGCCCTAAAAGTTAACTTACACCCTATCCACTTTCTAAACGCTTGTTACGGAGCTTATTGCGAACATTCACGCATCCATATGTTTTAAAATATATATTTTGGTGTAATTAATAGAATTCTCTCTGGCGACATATGCATAACTTCTCCTTGACTTTACTTCTGATTCTATGAGGCTTTAATCCTTTATAGCCTTTTACGATGTCATGACCACGACACCCCCTCCTGCGGGGGTTAGGGCGGACCATAATCGCAGGGCTGATAAATTTACACAGAACCCATTCTCAGTTTTCACACACACACACCACCTGGCACTAGCTCTAATAGTCACGGACTGCTGTGCTACTGCAACATCTCATCGAACAAAAGTCGAAGGAACATTGTCTGGTTGTTACACAGACTGTCAAAGGCCGCTTCAACCTTCCTGTTTGTCTGACGCAAACTACGCTTTTTCGACTCACAAGGCCTGGACGATTGTGCTGTAGAGACTTCCAGGAGAATAGAGAATCTTTCATCATCAAATAGGGGACCGAAAAATCAAACAAATTCTGAAATGGCGACGCAAAACCTGATGGAGAGCGACTCCCCGTCGAGTTCTGTCGTAGCGGGGGCACTGCGTCATCCGCCGTGTGAGTGCGCCATGGGGAAAGACTGTCGTTTAAGAGCTATACAAGACTCTATGTTTAAAGATCATTTTAGAGGTCCGATGGTTAGCTTGATGCACAGGATCATCGAGGCTGCATTTGATGACAACAACGATTGCACGAGGGATACCAAGCGTGTGAAAAACCTCAAAAAAGAAATGGAAGTCATAAGAGGGTTGGTTGGATCTTGGACAGATGTTACACCCATGTTTATAAACGACAAAGAACCGGCCGGCATAATCCTCAGAAAAGTTTTGGATGTGATTCATGAATCTTGTGAGGAATTTGAAGTCGACGAACTACTCTGTATGTGTACGTTTGTAACAGATCTCTGTGTGTCACTGTTGTCAAAAAAATTAAAAACAGATGTGGATGGCATTGTTGAAAGTATGGCGAACTATGCCCTAGAGAAAAACCTGATTGCGTGCCGCAACCTTTTATTCTTGCTCGATCACCTGTAAATGTTGTTATTGTTTTACTTCACTATGTTGAAATAAAACATTATTTTGTGGTCATGTCCGAGCTCATAACTTATTCTATAGGATTCTATATAAATACTTTATATATTAAGTCAAGTCAAGTCAAATATATTTATATAGGCTTTTCACAATACAGATTGTATCACAGCTGCTTCACAGTATCAATCAAGACCAGGGGTGGGCAATTAATTTCCACAAGAGGCCACATGAGAAACTGGGGCGGTTGTAGAGGGCCGGACCAATGCACTTAACTCATTTCTGCCCAATATATTATTTCTCTTTATAAAAAAAAATAATAAAAACAGGAAATTAATTAAATTAATCACTATTTAATAAACATTTCACAAAAACAGTTTTGAAATGTGCATTTTTGCAGTGTTTTTTTTTTACAAAAAGCAAGTATTTCAAAGACCAGCATCACATATAAAAAAGCAATAAATGCCCCCAGTGTTGTTTGTTTGATTGTTTTACCCAAGTTTTTCTTGTTCAGTGAGAGAAATCTAGCCTGTGTTGGACTTTAACAAGTCCACTGAAGTCAGGTTGCATATCTGAGGTGGATATGTGAAGGACAACACACAAGTGATTATCACTGAGAGAGGATCTGTATCTGTTAAACCTCATCACTGAGAATGTTTGTTCACAAATGTAGGTAGGCCACATGAGAAACTGGGGTGGTTATAGAGGGCCAGACCAATACATTTAACTCAGTTCTGCCCATATTATTTCTCTTTATATATACATATATATATATATATATATATATATATATATATATATATATATATATATAAACAGGAAATGAATGAAATTAAATCACTACTTAATAAACATTTCACAAAAACAGTTTTGAAATGTGCATTTTTTGCAGTGTTTCAAAAACTAGCATCACAACTTTATACAAAAAGGCAAGTATTTCAAAGACCAGCATTACATTATATAAAAAAGCAATAAATGCCACCAGAGTTGTTTGTTTGACTGTTTTACCCAAGTTTTTTTTTTCTTGTTCAGTGAGAGAAATCTAGCCTGTGTTGGGCTTTAACAAGTGCACTGAAGTCAGGTTGCATATCTGAGGTGGATATGCGAAGGACAGCACACAAGTGATCATCACTGAGAGAGGATCTGTATCTGGATTTGTTAAACCTCATCACTGAGAATGTTTGTTCACAAATGTAGGTAGATCCAAAGAGAACCAACATCCTCTGAGCATGCCTCCTTATCTGTGGGAAGTTTTCCTCTTTGAGAGAAGAAAAAAATGCAGTTGTGAAACAGACTTAAAGTGCTCTGCTAATAGTTTATCAGACTGCAGATCAATGAGTTCAAGCTGAACATCAATGGGTGCATTGTCCACACTGCAAGTGAAGGAAGAAAGAAATCATGTACATTTCACCCTCAACTGTTTTGAAGTCTAAAAATGCCTTGAAAACTCATCATGCAGTGCCTCTAACATGGATGAGTACCTCGGAGGTGATCAGCTGATGGTGTGACCTCTTTCAGTGTTGACATGTGGGTAAGAATGTTGCCCTCCAATTGGCTTGAAAGAAACTTCAATTTTCTCATGAAAGCTGTCACCAAGCTGTACATTTCATGTACAAAGAGGCCCTTACCTTGCAGCTTAGTATTTAGTTCATTCATTAATGCAGTCACATCAACATCAAAAGCCAGATCTGCTATAAAGTCTGCATCTGAGAGCTCTGGGGTGTCCCTGCATTTCATCTCACAAAACTCCTTAATTTCTGCTCTCAAGTCCCAAACTCTTTTAAGCACCTTGCCCAGGCTGAGCCATCTGACAGTTGTGTGGTAGCCTATGTCACTATGTTCACTTTCACACTCTTCCAAAAGTGCCACAAACTGTCTATGATTCAGTGCTCTTGCCCTGATGAAGTTAACTATTTTAGTAACAACATCAATAACATGGTTGATTTTTAGCACTGACTTGCACAACACCTCCTGGTGAATAATGCAATGCAAAAATGTAAATTTCTGTTCTGGGTTTATTTCAGTCACTTTATCTTGCATCCGCTTCAAAAGTCCAACATTTTTCCCAGTCAGATTTGGAAAACCATCGGTTTTAACACCTGTCAGTTTGTCCCATTTTAGTCCTAGTTTGTCCATGGTTAAATTTACCTCTGTGAACAAATCACTCCCCGTTGTGGTCCCTTTCATTGACCGCATAGCTGCCAGCTCCTTCGTCATCGCAAAGTCTTTCGTTATCCCACGTACAAAGATAAGTAACTGGGCTGTGTCGCGGACATCACAGCTCTCGTCCAGAGCCAAGGAGAAATAGTCAAAATTGTCCACTTTGTTTTGAAGCTGAAGCTCCAGATTTCCCGCGATGTCCTCGACTCATCTCGTTACTGTTTGCCTGGAGAGGGACACATTCGCAAATGCGTCTTTATTCTCAGGGCATATTAGCGCTGCAGAGTCCACCAAACATTCTTTGATAAACTCTCCATCACAGAATGGCTTACTGTTTTTTGCGATTTTGTGGGATATCACAAAGCTGGTCTTGACTGCTGCATCCCTGGATCCGTGAAGCTTGTTAAAAAGTCCTTGCTGCTTTTGCAGCTTAGCTAGCAACGTGTCAGATGTCCGTGCCCGCTCTGTGTCCGTTAAATTCTTGTATTTTACTGCATGTTTAGTCTCGTAATGGCGATTCAAATTGTAATCCTTGAGCACGGCTATCTGTTCTCCACAAACTAAACACACAGCTTTACCTTTGACTTCCGTAAATAAATACTTAGAAGTCCATGCCTTGTTAAAAACTCTACATTCTGCATCAATCTTTCTTTTTTTAACGTTAGCTAACATATTTCAAGGCTAACAGCGAACTCACATTTCTTGAAAGGTGTTCTGCATGATCGCGAACACATGAAAGAA